GCACTACAAAATTGCACCTCGAACAGCCAGTACCGGCGTTGCTTTTTTTTTTTTTCTCTATTTCCTGTCTTTTGGGCTGTTGGGCGGGCATGAAGCTTGTGTAGCTTTGGCTCTTTCAACTTCTATGGTAGCATGTGTATGTATCAGGAATTTTGTTCCCGGCCAGTTTCAGATCAAAGGCATACGTCTCCACCCTTTCCTTCGCTCACAAGACCTGGCTCTCTTGGGTATCCAACAAGGATGGTTGTGGGTTGTAGTTGGGTTGAGAAAGTTTGGAACATGAGCGCGGGCCGGTTTCAGTAAGGCGGAGGTTTCTGGGTCAATTGGCAATTCACTGGGGGCGTCTAGCGGGTACTTAAAAGAGTCTTTCTCTCTCCATGCTCCTCCATAATGCTCCTATATGCTCCTCTCTTGGCCAGAATTTGGGTCACATCCGACCCCTGCTGGAGGACCGCCACGCCCAACGCTCTGGACTCGTCATTCTTCCAAATAGCATTGCTTAAGGCAACCCTGGGGTTAGCATTTCATGAGCCAGACCTTGTAGCGCATTCCCCAAAGTCCATGTAGCCAAACCCCAGGGATTACTTAAGTGATGCTTCTTGCGACGTGGAGCCGGCACTGGTGTCGTCCCTAAGTGGATGTTCCCAGCCATTTTCCCGAGGGCCAAAATCTTGGGGCCAGGGTGGAATCACCATCAGACGATCGTGACCTGCATGCAGAAGACAAAAAGGGAGCAAGGCTTTGCGGCTGGTCGCGTACCTCTGGTGCACTGTGTTGATATACGTGTAAAGCTGGCATGTCATGCACCGCATCTGCACAGGCTGCTAGGATGCCAATTTTTGCGGACATGCGCAAGAAACGCGGTTTCTTGCGAGTGAATTGTAAGGTACACATGCTGCGGTGAACAGCCAGTGCTTGTGATTTGCAGGCCGTCGCCCGCGTGGTGCAGCAGCTCGAGAGCGAGGACTTGCCACCACAGCCCTGGGCGGGTTGCGGCTTGTGCGCTAGCCTCCGGCAGATGTAAACGCCTGCACTAGGACCTGGAGCGGGAAGTTATGCGAAGACTGCACGACTTCAACCCCAACAAGGCTAGGCCTCCAACCCCTGCAGCAGACTGCGTGCCAGCCCACAGCACGTCCGAGTCACTTTGCCACAGTCCATGTGGGGGGATTTCGCAATTTTGTGTGTACCCTTTTGGGGGGGTCCATATCATAAGTAAGGATTATAGTATTTTGGGGTCCCCTTATTTTGGGAAGCTACTCATTGACAAATCTCCTTCCCCGCCATGTGGCCTTGAACATGCGGGTAGCAGTCTTGCTCCTTGCGCAGATCCAACTATGGTGCCCCGATATGCCCCGATGTTAGTGTGAGCATGACATACTTCCATTTTTCATGAACGGAATCATCCTGAATTTGTCGCTGAACCTGAAGGCGCTGGCGCAGGCTGAGGATGCTTGGTCCAGTGTGGAGACCCGTGAAGAGCTTGTGAACCAGCTCAAGGCATGTTGGAAGCGCACTTTGAAAGCTTCTCAACCAGAGTCAGGTTGGCAAGAAGTGCAGAAGAAGCATGGGTGCACAGGACACATGCCTCGATTTCATCCTGCGCATCTTGCCAGCCATCCAGATTGAGAAGGTCTGGGGTCCCTAGTCCCGTATGCAATTTCCACATGCCATGGTGCTTGGCACGTCGGCTTCCCGGCCACGTGACTTTCCGCAGACCTCTGTCAGAGCACTTTGTTGGGTCAGGTTTCTGGTACCGCCAAAGACTGCGACTACGAAATCAGCGAGCCTTGGAATGAGAGTCAACGTCCGTGGCCGGTCCAGAGATGTCCAGAGTCTGGAGTCTAGAGACGTTCACCGACGGTGCGTTGCGATCTTCTATTTGCACGTTTCCGACCTGCTTTGAAGCTCCGAGATTTTCTGGGTCCAAACAAGTTTTCTATACGCATAGTCCTGAGGGTGCAGGCTCAGACATCTCGGGTCCAGGATTATGCTTTAGGTGACATCCAGAACAGCAATGTATCCTTCATACCGAGGACATCAACTTCTCAGATTTCTCCTTCCGCAAGGAAAACGTCTGCACCTCAGGAGAACTACCTATCCGACAACATGAAGCGGGCTAATCTAAACGGTGAGATCCTAAGAGCAACTTGAAAGTTAGAGTTGCAAGCAAAGCGAGTTGTGTGAACCAAAACATGTAATGTAGTGGATGTACGTAGAGTTTCCCAATGTTCTACAATATGGATTTTCATGCATTTCATGCGAATCTTCAGCCCGCTCAGAACATGTCCGCAATATTCAGAACTAGGCAACAGCATTGGCGATATGATCTAATGGATTTTGAATTTCCGCAGAGATGTAACGCTTTTTCATGTAACATGTGAAGCTTCAGAGTCTAGCGTGTCTGGTTTCAGCTGTTCATCTTTGAGCTGGTTGAGCTGGCCAGCCTCCATGCCTCTGTCTCTGCAGGTTCGTGTAACGCTCGGGGAATTGAATCGGGCAGATGAGGACTGCCAATTGGGGTGACGACACAGCTGAAGAAGCAAACCACGCAAGCAATTGTTGGATGATTTAGCAGCTCTGATGGCGGGACTTGAGATGTGGGGACCTGTGTTTAGTGGACAGTGGGTGGGCGCGGACCCCTCCAAACACATCTGGCTCCACGTGCAGCGCTCAGTAGCTGTTTTAAAATGAACTCAATAGGAGGAACGTTGTGGAAAATGAGTTCAATAGGAGAAACGTTGCTGCCATTCTAAGATTAAATGCAATAGGAGGGGGTAGTGAGCCTTCTTTAGACGAAAGGCTTTTGCTTTCTGAAATCACTAGGGGGCCCGAAATTATGGATAGATCAGCACCACCAAAATTCTTGAGGACTCACGCAGCTGTTGGACTGGCCCTTGCAAGAATGATTGCTTGGCTTCCTCAAATAAGCGATTTCGTAAGAATTCGATAGATTTTCATTTGGCCTGAAACTGCAACCTGAAGTCCTAAGGCCTGATACCTTGAAAGCTTTAGTCTGAAACGGCGGGCCTTTGAACGGAAAGGCTTTCGCTTTCCGGAATCCCAAGGCAGCACGAAAATTTTGAGGAACTAGTCCCCGAAACATTTTGATTATTGAGGATTTGGGCGGCTATTGGAGAGTTGCAAAAATGATTGCCTGGCCTCCTGGAATAAGCCGTCCTATAAGAATCCATACCCTGAAATCTTGACGTTTGAGATCCTTGAGGCGAACAATCTAATGAACAAGTATAGTAAGAGCAGCTTGTATTAGGACCTGGAGTACTGCATGAGGCTGCGAGGTTTGAGGGCCTCCACACTGATCGTGACTTAACTTTAACCCGCCCCAAACAACCATGTTCCTTAAAATGTCGGGGATGAGCCTTATAAGCAGCAAGCAGCAGAGGGTTGTGGTGGAACGTGCTTCACCCACACAAGAGCATCAGACATTCGGTAAGTACCATTCTCCGCAGTCTTTACAGGTGTTCAACATGTGCTATCTGCGAAACATGCTTGGTAGAGGGCGCCCACAAATAGAACAGGAGCAAAGCAGTCGTGTTCTTGTACTGACACCCGTGGTATGTTTCAACAGTCTCTGCTATAAGCTGGTGTCCTCCAGAGCCCCAATCAGACTGCGTCTTGAGAAAAGCCTTACTGACGTGTCTAGTCTGCGCACCTGGCATAGACCGAAATGGACGAACAACGCCAGGACATCCTTCGTGTGACTGCCTGGGACATCAGTGCCTGAATTCGCATTCCGCACTTGTGCAGCCACAAGGAGTTAGACTTGTGCGCAAGTATGCCTCCATTTTGCAATTTTTTCCATTCTCGAGCTCTGTGTTGAAGATTGTTCGTGGCAATTGCTAGGCGACATGGATGCGGTAGCACGCACACTTTTTCCCGAAAGCATGGGGAAGAGTTTCTCCACCGAGGTGTGATGATGGCGTTGTAATATTACTAATCCGTGCATGGTGCGATGATGACGATGATGATGGTGGTGATGATGATGATGATGATGCTGATTGGTGGATGGGCATGGATGGGCGTGAGGATGGCGTGATGCTGGTCTGATGGAAGGTTGTCGTGAGGTCTCGGATTAAGGTCCTCGTGAAGAATCGGATGCATGATGATGCATGGATGTTTTGATGGGCAAACGTCGTGAGGTATCGGGTCTGTGTGGTCTGTCTCCTGCTAAATTTGATGTTTTTTGCACTGGTACGGCTGTTCGGAGCTACCGCACCTCGCCAAAAGCGCGCCGGCGCATGGAGCATCTGCAGAGTTTCGCGCGGAATCGACGACCCTTTTGGAGGGCACGGCGTGTCGGCTGTGCAGAGTCTGTTTTATGCGCGTAGCGTGTAGGGTCGCTGGCGCGTGGGGCGTCCGCGGAGTTTTACCTCAAAGTGACGGATGTTTTAGGCGTGCAGTATGTTGGGTGGCTGGCACGTGGAGAGTCCTCATGCGTCCTCAGAATTCTGCTTCGAATCGACGACTCTCTCAGTGGCCAAAGCTGCCCAAGCGGGTTTTAGACCACTTTGTAGTACAACTGTAGTGCTGGAAACGTTTCTTCCGGAGCCTTCCGAAACAGTCCCAACCTGGTAGTAATAGTACTAATAGTAATAATAATAATAAGAATAGTAGTAAGAATAGTAGTAATGATAACAAAAGCAGTAATAGTGGTAATAATGGCCACATTCGTAATGAAAGTAATCATAGACATGACAACAATAGTAGTAGTAATGGTATAATAATAGTGATGCTACTAATGTAGTGCGAAGAGTGATGATAGCGTTGAAGCCGCCATGTCGACGACTGTTGCTGTTGCTTCTTGCAAGCCTTCTTGGGCTTGTGTCAAGTTTGTGTGTGTAGTTGTAGTTTCCATGGACCAAGCAGACTTCAACTGCTATGTTCTCGGCCTGTTTAGGGTACAGTTCCATAGTTTGTTCCTGTGGCGTTGTCTTGGACAAGGCAGACTTCAGCTGTTCTGTGCTTGGCATGTTTAGGGCACAGTTCTGTAGTCGCTTTTGGCATTCAAAGGCAAACCCAGCGCGCCCACCCCGGCGTGCCCAGTGGAAGGGCGAAAGAACAAACCAGTTGAAAGTGCGGTGCAGAACTAAAACGATTTCTTGGGGGGAAATCGACAGCACGGAGAAGCCACTGAATACGAATGCATGATAGAAAGGATTACGGACATTGTACATGCTGAACAAGCACCATACAGCAAATTCCGTCCCAGCAGACGGAG